GATTTGGCATTAAGGTGCATTAAGATTTCTTCCAGCGAGGCTAAAGTGAAAATCGAGAGTTCTTTATTTGTCGGGCAAACTGTGACGAAAGGAAAGGGCGGAGCCTTGAGTATTGAATGCAAAGGCAGCGCTTCCCTGGTTGTTACAAACACTACTTTTGAGCGAAACAAGGCATATTCCGGTGGCGGTGCGATTTTTTTCAATGGTGGAAAAGGAAATCTAAGGCTTGAACTTACTAATGTAAATTTTTCTGAATGCGAATCCGAAACCCAGGGCTCTGCGTTTCTGGTTGGGAAAACTCACAATCTTATAGCTAAACCGATAAACTATGATCTGAACGCGCATTTCAGAAACGTCCGCGTCAAAAACTGTGCTGGCTCAAACAGCAGTGTTTGTGTTATGAGGAGTGGGTTCGTGGAATTTGAACGTTTTCACTGGGAAAACACTGTCTCAAAGGTCGCTGGAGGTATATTCGTAGCAAGTACTGGTACTGTTAAGACAAATGTTTCAATTTTGAAGTCTAATTTCACCGACAGTCATTACAATAGAAGTGTTTTCGTGAGAATCGAAGCACTGAAAAAACACAGAGGAAAGGTCTTGGTAGCCAACACTTCTATGTACAATAATCAAAATGGAGCGTTGATAATAAACCCAAAATATGAAATTTTGCTCAAGAACGTGACCATCGCCTATTGCAGACACGGATTACAGACATCCAATGAATGGTTGTGTCGCAAAGACTTTCCTTTGCAGCCTGTCAAAATCCTAATTGAAAACTGCACTTTTAAACGCAATGTCTACGATGTGTCTATAACTGTAAAAGAGGCTCAGTCTGTATCGTTCACAGTGAACAACACGAATTTCATCGGCCAGTCAAACGGTCACGCCATTCGATTTTATATGCCCGCAGTGGGGAACAAAACCAAAACATCGAGAGCCACAGTAAAAATAGACAAAGTGATTTTTGATGCTCGTCCTGCTAGCTATTTCGCCCTTTATTTCCAACGAAAGAAGTATGTAACCATACGCCGGTCGATTTTTCGCCACTGCACGTCTGTTAGCCAAGAGCTATGGAACTATGGTGGTAGTAAGTTTGCTTATGAGACGGCAACAGGTGCTATTTCGATTATCTCCAACCCGGACAAAAACTACAAACCAGGGTGTGTCCAACGGAACATAACCAACAACACTCACCCTTTATGGAAATACGACAGTCACGTGACTGTTGAAGATACGTTATTTCAACAGAATGCTGGGCTCAATGGGGGTGCAGTGTATCTTAGCAACGGAAACACTACCTTTCGGAATTGCTCCTTTGAAAACAATTTGGCAGCAATGAACACAGGTCAAGTTTATTCCGCCTATGGAACTGGTCGAGTAGAATTCGTCAACTGCTCTTTTGTTAGTAGTACGTACCACGCCACTATCTCTGGCAGAAAATTCAAAAACGTCGCCTTCTTTTATTCTGAAAGCGGAGGACCCATCAAGTTTCGGAACTCGTCTATGTTTTCAAACACCTCTACAAGGCGTTCGTTTTCTGTGTTGGCAGTTTACAACGGAGGATACGTTGATATCGACAGCGAAACTAGCATTCGCTGCGAAGGAAGTCAGATGTCTCTCGCAAATGCAACGCATTTTGTGTACACCGAAAAAAGACAACGCCTTTGCATAGAAAACGTGACGGTCCTTTGGTTTTCCTGCAAGCTTTGCTCTCCCGGATATTACAGCCTACAAACTGGCTTTTCAAAAGGTCTTGCTGTAGATGATTCATTCCAATGTCATCCATGTCCTTTGGGAGCTACATGCATAGGAAACGAATCAAGCATTGCGGCAATAGAAAACTTCTGGGGATACAATGTGCCGGGAAGAGATGGGCAAGTACTCAACTTTGTTTCCTGCCCCAAGGGTTATTGCCGCTCACCGAGCCCGCAATCGTTAGTGTACAACAGTTGCCATGGAAACAGGACTGGTTTTCTGTGTGGCCAGTGCGCACCTGGGTACACTGAAACACTATTTAATTCTGAGTGCAGAAAAACAGCTCAATGTAAAGATTACCTCTTCTGGATAGCGATGTTTCTTTTCTCGGCTGCCTTGGCGCTATATCTGTTAACTGATCCTCCTTTGCTTCGACTTCTATGTCCACAACAGATTTTATGGTTCATGAAAAAGAAGGAGAGAAGACAAAACCAAGAAAACAGTGAAAACTGCGACGAGTCAGACAGTGGTTATACAAAAATCGCCTTCTATTACTACCAAGTCGCCGATTTGCTGCTAGGCAGTTCTCTTGATGACTTGCTTTCTGAAATGCCCCTCGTTGTTGCTATGATTTCAGCGTTCAATTTTCAAGTCCGCGCTGTTTACCTAAGAATCGAGTGTCCATTTCCGGGATTGACCCCAGTCACCAAAGAGCTGCTTCTCTCTTTGGTGGTGTTTGCAACAATGGCGAACCTTGCCCTCATTTTCTGCGCCCATTTGGCTATCAGCAGAGTCCATAAGAAGGTGAGAAAGCCATCGTTGAGCCGTTACATGGCGGTCTCCTTGGAGATATTGTTGCTAGGATACGATAGACTGGCTGAAACTTCGCTGGGGCTGATGGACTGTGTAAGAACTGGGTATGAGCATCGACTGTTCATTGATGGTACCATGATCTGTTGGCAGCCGTGGCAATACATCGTTCTTGGGTACATAATCGTGTTTGTGGTGCCCTTTATCGCAGTCCTGTACTACGGTTCTTCAAAGCTGCACAGTTCTTACATTTCTTCAGGTGAATTTCTCGCAGCCTGTGTTATTCCTTTGCCATTTCTAATCTATTGGCTTTTCAAGCGCGTTTTCAAGAGAAGAAAGGAAGAAAATGATAGCGAAGAAGCTGCAGCAAGGCTGAACAATAGCGCTGAAGTAATGAAGGTCCTACACGAGCCATTTCGCGCATCTAATGATCGAGATGAAGGCACTCTTTACTGGGAGAGCGTTATGATTGGTCGACGGCTCATCCTTCTTACATTTCACTCGTTCATCCCTAACGCTATGATCCGACTTTTGGTTATGGCTAGCGCATGCGACTTCATGGCCATCCACCACATAATCAAGGCCCCATTCCGGAGCAACACCGCTAACAAAGCCGAAACGACGTCCTTAATCACCTTGGCAATCGTCGCCAAAATCAGCCTGATAAAGGCCACTCTCCTGTCTTCCGGAATAAGTGCCAAGGGAAGAAACAAGGTTTTCCTAAAGGGACTTAAGTGGTTCGAATTTGCTGCAATGGGACTTGTTCCCGCATTGTTGTCCTTGCTAGCTGCTACAGCCATTTTGTCGCAAACATTCCGTTTGATTATTTATCTTGTCAAGAAGATTGGCCGACGCTTTCGAAAGGATGACATTACTCATACATCTATCGATGAACTAACAGATCCTCTTTTGAGTAATAACCAAGATTATAATAGTTGTTAACAGTTACTTTTTTTATTATTTATTATTATTATTATAAATTTTTGATACTCAGTTTTGGAATTTACGGCAGATGTAGAGCTTGGAAAGAATTCATTGCTATTAACCTTTTTCCCTAAAATGACCGTTTTTGAACAATAACATAATTAGATAACGTTCTAAAGAAAATAACAAAAGAAGTTTGGGAATAACGGAAGAGAATTTGCTATTTCGCTTCCGAAACAGCCGAAATGCAAAGTGAGCAGATGCCGCTTTCACTTCTTCAAAATGGATTGTCGCTGTCACAATTCTTTCCTTCTTTTCTGTCGATTGTTAGTGCTTTGTGAGAGGACTGTCGCCAGTTTTCGGCGCCATGTTGCCTTTCGCTTCTACCCCTTGGAAGGCCTCAACATTGCTACCCGTTACCATGCCAACAACTTCCAAAGAGACAATATAGTAGAAATTTTTCGCTCAGGGGAGGAGGGGAAGGAAAGATATGTGCCTCTCTCTCTCCCTTCCCCAATGTTTTGGTTATGCTGAAAAGTCTGCTTATTTTGCCCCATTATGATAAAAATAACAATAAAATTACCGGCGGCCTACCATGAAATTTTCCTAACTTTGATGCTGTCTTACCGACATTTCCTTCAATATCCCAAGCCAACTCCCAAGAATGTTTTAGATGAATGTCTAAGTGTGTTATTTAACTAGGATGAAGAGAATTTGGAGATATACTTGACATGGTGAAGACGGAAAGTAGGGGGCAAACTTGTAGTCTTTTGCCTTACTGATCTTGGGAATAACTCGTTACTACCCTGAAGCATATGTTTGTGATTTATGATTCTAATTTCAAAATATAAACCTTATTATAGGACAACTTATCACCTACCTAGTTGCCAAAGAATTTTCTGTCAGCGACGTGAACAATACCGATACCGTAGCCGCACATGTGTCGGGGGGAGGGTGAGGCTACAGGGGCGGATCCAGGATTTTTTTAGGGGGGGGTGCACTCATCTCTTGCTCTACTTCAACACCAATAAACCACATAGTTTTTTTTTTCTGTTGCACAATACCAGTTGTATTAGAAAACCGCAGGTCGTCTGAGGGGGGGGGAGGTGCACACCCCCTGCACCCTCCCCCTAGATCCGCCCCTGGGCTACACGTAGGCTAAATATTGAAAAACTGATTCTAGCTTGAGTTTACATGTATCTGCATATAAAAAAGGAAGTATTCTGTATAAACTATGACAAGGTGTTATGATTGGTTGTATGTTCTGTAGTTTTTGCTAACCATACATATATCTATGGGTTATCTACGCAATAACTGGATTATACCGCTTAAATGGTACACTATTAGAAGCATATTAGGAATTTGTATCTCATACTAAGTGTTTTGTGATTAAACTATTAACAGTTTCACCATCCTGTTTTAGTTCTACTTGGCATTACAAGTGATTCTCGTCTTGTATGGAGACAATACCTTGATGGCGGTTTGTAAGATTTTAAGCTGTCCCAATGAATTGTAAACAATGACTTGTAAGCAAACATCTGTTACCATGATGATATCCAGGTGACTATTCTTTAGTGTAACTTAGATAGACGAGGACATTGTGAATATATGCTGGCAAATAAGCATATGTTTAATACAGAGACAACAATTGTCACCAATGTTGCATCTGCGACAGGCATGTTAAGGGAGAGAAAATACTTTGCTAAAACATCAGCAACATTTCTGTTTGAGAAGCTTTACTATCCATAAGATGCAGACTACATTAAAATTTGACATTAATTTTAACTGATAAATATTTTGTGTTTTGTGTTTGTGAGACCAACATTATTTTCTCGTTAGATAATCACAGTGATGCCAACTTCCAGAGTTCTGAAAATGGAGACTTTTGCACTATCCACCCCTCTATCATTGCCAACCTACCTCAACCTCCCTAGGCCATTTCAGAGTCGCTCCAAGCCTCTGTTTCAATGCGAGGCAAAGTGCAAAGCGATTGACATGACGCTGATTTTTTTAGAGCAATTTTTAATTGAGTGTTGAAAGTAATCCAGGATTGAATTGGTTTTGCTTTACTGTGCTGTTTGATTGGTCTAGAAAACTCACGCCACACTCTCAGTCAATCAGATGTAAACTAAAACCAATCGCTCCTTGGTCACTCGCGTTTTCCCACGCTACAGGCCGGTTACACGAGTTTACTTCGAGTTGTCATTGGCTCCCTCTGATAATTTCCTTTACTCTGATTGGCCGTTGTGATTACTTTGGTTTTGGTTTTCGACACTCAATTGAAAAGCGCTCTACTGTCATCCAAATACAACTCATTTTCACTCATTTTGCAATTGACAGTTTTTAGAGCTTGGAAATGGCCTGTATAGTACAAAGCAACCCAGTCTCTAAATTATTTTTGCTTTGGTTGAACAGAAATTAGGATATAAATTTTTCAATGAAGACATGATCGTCGCATTGATTAGCAATTTAAGCAATAACAAAGTAACCCAAAAGGATATTTTAGAATTTGCACCCATGGTGTTTACATTTTAGTGAAAGTAGAGCTGCAGTCCTCTACCATGAAGGCCCAGACATTAGAAGCAGGCCAATTTGTTGAGTCCATGTTAACCAGTGAAAGGAATGGAAAATGAAATGAAAAAGATGTGACCAAGGAAATATACAATATTTTAAATGAAGACATGATCGTCGCAGTTGATTTTTATCTCAGGTAATTTTTTATTTTTCTTTTGTTTCAACTGTCAGACCAGAAAATAAAAATTACCTTTTGAAAATACTTTTTTTTCTTCCTTTGCTCAACATTTGCACTTTTTTTTAGCCTAGAACTATGATTATATTTTATCTAACTGGAGCTAAATTTCTCTTGGGCTTCCTCGAAAGGCTCAGACGCCCAAGCAACTGTCAGACCAGAAAATTTTTGATCCTTTTTAGGAGCTAAATTTCGCCCTCAATCTGGCAGTCTTTTTTAATAGTTTTTAATAGTTTTTTTCGGTTAGAGTTGGCGTGATGTCCCAAACGATTTTGCCGACATAACGATATTTAGATTTAGATTTTAAATTTAGATATGTTTGCGCAGGTTGCAATAGCCTCCCCGAGGGCATACTTTTGTGTGTTTATAATGCCAAATCTAAGTGCATTTCTCATAAAATTCACCTTAAAGGATACTGAATATTGTTCTTTCCCAAGGCTCAAGCATGTAGATTCCCGTTGTGACCTGGTACTGGTAGTTTTTCAGAGAAATCCATTCCCGAATCTTTTGAAACATGGTGTCTCGTTTAGCTTCACTTTTCGGTTTGTACGTTAAGTAGTCTTAGCACAGAGTATCTCTTGCAAGTATATCCGCTGATCAAAGGCGCTGTTTCATGAACATGCTGTTATCTGATCAGCAGTCTATCATCAAAACCAAAACTCAGCAAAATGTACAACACAAAATGGCTGAATATTTTGAAAACGACAACGAGTTAAAATTACCCACGATTTGTACGTCACAACTGGTCTGTCCTCTTTGCAACAGCAAGAGAAAGAGTTTTAGTTGCGAAAATTGCGTTAAAAATGGAAACTTTAGTCATTCCAGAGGAAAATACAGCGAAAGGTACGCGGATTTGTTACAGATTTTTCCATATCTAGACACCCCAGTATTTGTAAACTAAAATATGTACCTAAAGGTACATAAAGCTCTCTTTGCTTAAACAAATCCGACGTTTATTTTTTATATGTCTAAATCTGAGCCATTTTCCTGTTAAACAGATATAACGAAGCGTTAAGGAAGTTAGAAATTTTAAAAAGATTGAAGAAAGAATATGAAAAACGGTAGGTGAAGTTCAATTTTCTAATCATCAATAACTTTCAAGGTGTAATATTCGCAAAAAATATTACTTCAATGCATTCTTTGTGATTTAGTTGACTCATTCTATTTAAAAGTTCTTTTTTATGGAAAATATACAAACATGTTCATTTATACTTTACAGTGCTTTGAATATTTTGAAGCAGACAGAAGAAGCAGAGAAATTGGTTTGTCTATGCATTTTTTTTGAATACATTTGTCACATTTGCTTAGCTTTTTTCTGAAAAATTAATTACTTACCCTTAATGTTAATTACTAGTATTTAAAATTTAATGATTGCCAGCTGTCACTCACCATCTCACTCCTTACCTGTCATTTTCCTTATGTATCTGGACATTGCACAGAAATTTGGCTAAATTTAAGTTTTGCTCCTTTTGCTTCTTTTGGTATATTTTATAATCCTGATAAATCTCTCTGGTCAGTCTGATTATTGTTTTCAGGATACTTAAAATCCACAGACTTCATTGTCTCCTGGAAACCTGATTCAAAACATGTGAAAAGCTCTCATTTGTTAAACTGCTTTAAGTGTAGTTGTCTATACTTGGCTCATAGACCTTATCCTTGGATAACTTAAAATCCTGGCCCCAGTTGATCAAAAGCCTGATATTGCTATCCACGGGATAAATGACTATCCGGTGGATAAGTATTAGGGTAACCAATTGCACTATGCACTGGATAGAGATTTATCCGGTGGATAACGCTATCCACCTTTTCAACAACTGGAGTCTGGTGAATAATGTAATGCTTGCCAACAATTTTTTTTAAACCTATTATGCCCTATTTTCCTGTTCAGAAACTGGAGATATTCAGTTACTTTCTGCCAACTGTATAATAGCTAATCTGACTTGATAAAGACCTATCCTTCACTGTAATTTTTAAATTTTTTCTGTCCTCTAGAATTGCGAGATCATATCCAGGAGACAGAAAGTTTTGCTTCTGCGATTGGTTGTAGAAGAAGCAGTACAAAATCTCAAGTCTGGTAATACATGTACCTATTGTTCCCTTGAGCTTGTGTACTTGTTTACAAGACTAGTAACTCCACTATAACAACATCATTACCTCAGTAGTTGATAAGGTCATTACACAAAGTTAACACCTGCCATGATATGGGGAGGCATGGTGGCCAAGAGGTTAACACGTCGGTCTTAGGATGTGTGGGTTCAGTCCCGTCAAACCTTGTAACTGGGTTGTTTCCTTACACAGGGAACTTTGCTCTACTTTGTCTCTCTTCAACAAAGTGCATAAATGGGTGCTAGTGGCATGGTAAATGTAGAATGGAGTAGCTTGCTGTTCTGGGAAGGAAAGAACTAGTTCTAGGGTCTTTCTGTTAGAGAAACAGAAATAAGCTTTAGCTATATGGGCCACGTTATCTTGAAGTGTGCCTTGTTGTTACTATGGGTTAGAGGTGTTGTAGGGTCAATATTACAGATCAAAGCTTCAATGTTTTTTTTTGTGTGTCAAATGGTTATGTCATAAAGACACATTGACTCTCTTTTTTACCTTGAGTTAATAATGGGGTGTTTCTTGTTTTGCTGAAGCTTTTGTTGTTTCACCTGTGTGTTGTGGTGTGGGTATCAATTGTTCATTGTCTGTTAATTAATGTTTTGTATATTTACATCATGTGGTGGTCGCACATGTCCCTATTACCAAGAAACTACCGAATAATGAAATGTAACACTCTCAACCCTATAGTTTAAACAGATGGAAAAATACACTTTTTGCCATGGAAGAGGGGCCTCATTTTTTGTTCCTTTTAAAAAGGAAACTGCAAAGTGCAAGTTATGTTACCTTAAAATGATGACGTTTTTTAATGAACAGAAAAAGATGTTGTAGATGAGCTTCAAAGATGTAATCAGTCAGTAAAATCAAAGCAGACAGACCTCTCTAACAGTGTTCAAGTGAAGGCAAAGCAGATGTTGCAATGTCAGGTAATCTGAGGGAAAAAATCACATAGGTTATCGCTAATGACAATTGAGAGCATGCATTACTTTTATACATTAATTTCTCCACAGTTTTTTTGCAAAATGCTAACTTGACTTTTTTCCGATGCGTGGTTCCAGAAAATATCTGCTTGTACTGCCCCCACCTTGGGCAAAATGCTTAAGGGGCCTATCAGCACTAGCAAAAAAGCTGTTTATTTGGACAGATTTCTGTCATCACCAAGACTTAGCAAATGCGGATGGTTTGTCATGATTTTACAAATTTTGCCCCAAACGAGACGATCTTCAAAGGCACTGTGGACAAAATTTGTCCTGGGTAAAAACTGGACAAAATCGACTAAATAAATGAAAAGGTGTCTTCCTTGTCAATCATTTTTTTTTTCTGTTGTAAATCCATTATTCTTTCCATTAAGTAATGACAGATGTGACGGCCTGTTCAGAATAAAGAGTAGTTTCCACTGCAGTTAATTTTTTTCAAAACAAAAATTGTCACCATACATTTTTTCATTTAGATGTTTTAAAGACAATTCCAAATTTGTCTTCTAGTGTGGATAGGCCCAAAGAAGAGTATGAAACTAAACTGAAACTCCCAGAAGGGTGGGAAGGTTCAAACCAAAACACCCTTTATTGAGGAGTACAGATATTTTCTACAACAACACAACAGAAAAAGCACTTTACCTTTGAAAATAACTCTGGACATCACTCTTTGGGTTAAATGATAGTGACACACAAAACTCCCGACCTTTTGAGGCAAAGCAGAAAACAAGAAACAATGCTCATAGGGGGGGACATAGCACCCCCAACTTCCCCTTTCCCCTTGCCCCCATCTTGCCCCTGACTCGTAATGCAGGATTAAGAGTCTGACTTTGTCACCTCTTTGTTTTAGGCAGTAGTTGAAAAAAGCAAGAAAGATCTTGAGGCACTAATGGAGAAACTGTGCGAAGTTCGCAGGCGCAGGATATCTCAGTTACAGAAGTACTTGTTCCCCATTCAAGTTAATCCTATTTATCAAGTTCTGGGTACACCGCCCGTGAAGGACAATGTTGTTAAGAAAGTTCAAGGTAACTGCAAGCTAACCTTGTTTCATTTTTCTTTTTTCAAAATTGTAATAGAGTTATCTAGTGGATAAATCTTTATCTTTTGACTAAATGAGTAAAAAAGGAAACTTTGACCCTTCACACCTGGACTGCAAAATAGCTATTAGGCAGAATTGGTTGAGAGGTAATAAGGTCATCAACATTATACACCTATTTCAGTTAAGGTTGCTCCCGTGAACCATGTTTCATAGCCTGCAGTACACTATGGTAAACCCTTTTGTACAGGGAAGTTCAGTCTTGACCATTTGTGAGAATTAAGGCTTTTAAGAGAGCTTTTAAGTCAAAATGGCTGCTAAAATTCTTAAGCATGAGTGAGCTTAAGAATTTCATTTTTAAAATCTCACAGTAAGAAATTAGGAGCCGCTTCTTTTAACAACATTAAATGAATAGGGTTTTACCGCCTGACTAAGCTGCGTTTTTGCATGGGCCAGAATGCTGGTTAGTTCAATAAAACAAATCAACTGGCTATTCTTTTTTCTATTCAGTTTTAAAAAAATTGCCTCAAAAAGAGATCATTTGTGTAATGTTAAGTTATTTATTGTAGTTCATGAACAAACGCCTTGAATTTGATTTTTTTCTAACTCCATCCAAAATTCCCACGTGCATGAGCCAAGCAAATTCGTTGAAAATTTGCAGCATTTGCATATTACCACAGAGAAAACCCTAACCTCAAATCACTGTCTAATTTAAAAAGCCTAGGACTCAGTGTTTCGAAATACATTGTCTTAACGTTCTGCTGACATAGCATTGAAGCGTCAGCAGCGTCTGCTTCCTAGGTGTCTAGACTCGTTGTGGGTACATAACGTACCAGACTTGCTACAGTAATGCACCGCGGGCTATGAAACATGGATCATGCATCATTCCTCTCAGAAGCAACCTTAATGGAAATAGGTGTATACAATGGAGACCGGTAAATCAAAGCTAAAAGTATCATCTTGGGGAGTAGGGAGTGAAAAAAACGCTTTCCAGCCAACAGGCCATTTCCAAGTTTCAAAAACTCTCCCTTTCAAAACGAGGCTAAGTGCAAACTTGTGAAAATGAGTTTAATTTGCATGAGAATAAAAAACCATTTTCATACCAAAGCCTTCGCACTTACCCAGGCTTTGAATCAGAGGCTTGGGGCACTCCTGGGAAAATGGCGTCTTTGTCACTTTAGAAACGAGGAGGAGACTGGGCCGAGTTAACTACATCGAAAAGACTTCTGGGACTGTTACTGAGGACAGAGGTAAAAATTGGCCATTAGCTGACCGGCACGTCCACAGTAACAATCCCAGAAACACTTGCGGGGCGCATTTCTGCTCCAGCTTTCTTCTCGTTTCTAAATTGGCGAATAGCGAGCGCGGAAAAAAGACGGTACCAATGCGAGGAAATTAACCTGTGCTACCAAGGCAGATAAGCAGGCAGGAAGAATGGGAATAAATGATATATTTTAGCAAGGATTAGCTCAGTTGGTCAGTACGCGGCCTTCTGTTCGAGAGGTCCCGCGTTCAAAATAATAGTTTTGACTCTTATCCTTTCCGTGTAGCCTTTGACAGCTTGAAATTATATCCGGGTATTATACCCGTACAACGGAGCTTTCACCAAGAGGTCGGGGGGGGTTAAAATGTACACACCGTCGGCCTCAGTATTGGTAGCCAGATGATGATTGTTTGAAACTAACGATGTAAAATACTGATCCTTCACCTTTTTTACTTTTCATCGTGCCGCGTATCACTAAAGCACAAATTGTGAAAAGGGAATTTAGCAATAAAGCAGAGCGCGATATGCCTGACCTTTCTGCCCGCCTTCTATCTAGAACGCCAATCCCACTGAACTCATCATGGTTGCTTGAAGCAAAGCGCAGTAGTTTTTACTTTGATATGCCTGATTGGGAAAGATCAGGTACACCCAACGACGTTTTTCTTTAAAGTAACTGTTCGAAGGAGCGGAGGCTTAGAAATTGCTGAAATTTCTGGATAGCCGTTCCAATCGTCTCAGATATTAGGTTTTTTTACTAACTTACCCACGATTTTCTGAAGCTGTGTTTTTCACATTTTATTACCAAGATATTGCGATTATTGTGAACAAAAAACCGGTCTCCTGAAAATCTCGGTGTAAAGACAAAACGTCGGCTAGAATCTTTTTTTTATGAAAGGATGGATACTCCATGTCCTCAAGCTTTTGACCGGACCAATCAAGGTTGCTAACATTTTCGAAAGAGACGAAAAAGCCACCTAAAACGTTCAAGAGGACAAATATTCCCCTAAGGCATCCAAACATATTAAGAGTTTTGGGGCAACTCCAAATTATCTAAACAGGCTCCTAAAGTATAGACACTGGAAAACCGTTTGAGACACTAGTGATCTGACGTATCTGGAAACATTTGATCGTTAAGTGCCCCTGCAAGATTGTGACTTTTCTTTTAATTTAGACATACAGTGTGACGTTGAAAGTGACGATGATGATGAGAGCCGCGAGTCCCAGCTTGCTGAAGCCACGCGGACGTCGTACATCGAAGGTCGCTGGGTGTCTGAAGAGGAAGATTTACGAATGCAGTGCAGCATAAATGACACATGTCTACCAGCCAATGCCGATTACACTGCTTACCACGAATGGGGTAAATAACTTTCTCATTAGACTTTCAAGCAAACGCTCGTCGAGAAAGTTGAGACGGGAGCAAAAAAGATGAATGAAGGGGAGGGGGGGGAGGAAACTCTTATTGCTCTCTCCAACTTTCGAGCAATAACTAGATAGAAAACGCTTGCTACGCGGTCCATGTTTTCATAGACTATTTAATGTGTAGAAAAACGTCGCAAAATGCCAGCTTGCTTTTTTCACTGACTCGAACTTTTTAGGCGGTTTCTTCTAGCATAGGTTTGTATGACTCGCTTCTAAGTTGTTGTCGTATTTAAATATGTAATCAGTTTCTTCGTGCTCAGCTGGCGATGAAGTGTGAGCGATTTTAGTGTTGTTCGTCGAGGGAAGATCACAAGGGTTTTAAGCAGGCTTAGAGCTGATGCAACTTAGCGGTAATTCGTGATAAATCGCAGCAATTGTTGCAGCCAGGTGGCACAGAATTTGCCTCCCTCCCTTTCATTCTTAACACTGGCTCTGTCGGAGAGCGAATTGCCAGTGTTTTCAGGTATTAACTTGCTCGCGGTTTTACTGTTCTTAATCAAATCCCGCTCTTGCAAAGTTAAAACAGGTTCCCCTTCTCTTCTCTTTCACAGTCAAGGCGCACAGAAATGGTTCCAGAGGCCCATCAGGTAGGAGCCTTCCTCATTCTATTCAAGGCCCCGTTGGAAGGGGGGGGGTATTTGGGGGGTACTTAGGCAACCTCGTCCCCAGGGCGCTTTTCCTTGTCTTTAAGGTGGGGCTGGAAATTTCCCACCCCACCTCCAAAGCCAGGGAAGAGCGCCTTAATACGAGGTTGGTACTTGGGCTAATTTTTGCTGGGTATGTGCCGCTGGCCTCTCAGAGCCCCTACCCCATTATAGTCTATTCTGTGGCCAATTATAGACCCCAATTATAGGGCAAGTATGTAATTTTCGCGATCCCAACTCAGTCACTTTCTATTTTTATGAATTGACCCATTTTTTAGATTGAATGAAGAACACTTTACTTTTCATCTGCAGTAGAAACATTCTCGAACGTTTGCTAACCGTAAATACGAAGATCTGTGTTACCCCAAAAAATCCGAAAATGTGCGACCCAATTCTAGTAACTGTACTGAAAATGCGACCCTATCGAGCGGCACAACCCCATAAGCCTAAGAAAGTACCCCTTCCCCCCACCTTCGGCGTTTATACAGTAGAACATTACAAAAATATCTCAACTTTGCGTTCGTATGAGCCATTGTTTAATGTGTAAATGTAACGAAAAATTCGATTCGTTTTAGCAGACGACCTCTGTTATGGCCTTAAACAATAGTAATCATGAAAAATCATCATCATCATCATCATCGTCCAAACCTTAATGAGAATTTAACTAAAACAATGCATTTAAAGAGCTACATTTGGGCGAATCGCTGAGATGAAAGCCTTGGAGACTCTGGGCTGAGAACGAAATTCTTGGCGCGAGGGTTTAGTGCTTGCTAAAAAGAGCACTTTGCTACCCTGCAAACATAGATTTTTGGATTTTGACTTACTAGCATTTCCATTCTTTTTCACGCGTTATCATTCCTTTCAGACGACATTTTAGTCTGTCCCACTCACGTTTTTTAATTTTGATTTCAGCATCAGATGAGGAAGTCTTCGTGCGAAACCCGGCTTTCATGGTGACAGCCGCCCTCACACACGCTTGTCAAATGGTGGAGCTATTGGCGTTTTACTTAGACGTGAATTTACCAAAAAGAATAAACTATAGGTATGGGTTTTTTTTCGTTTGCTGTGAGGAGTTCAGCATTCGAGCCACATAACCACAGGCAGACCATCCTCTGTTCTTGTAGCAGTTGTTGCTATTGTCATCTGAGCATCAGAGTCAAAGTGCTTGGGCTCTGGGGCACTGTGATCGTTACACAAATGTACTGTTGCGATTGGCTGACCTTCTTTAGACAACAGAACGTAAAGTTTTCTTTCTAAAGCGTCAATTTTCTTAAGAATAGAAGCGAAACGACGATTCTCTCTCTTCGTATCCATCTCACCCCAAGTTACTTTCTTTTAGTTGCTGCTTTCATAGCCTCCTACGCGGACGTTCTTAGGCTCAGGGTAAAGCCATAAGGACGTCTGCGTGGCAGGCTACCCCTTTCGCCGTTTAGTTCTTTGCTCTGCAGATTGTGACACACCAGCAAGGATCATTTGTGTTATAAACGCTCGTAAAAATTTGTGACATCTTGAATCATCTATTTACGCGAATTAGTGCAGCTTGTTTCCGGGGGGGAGGGGGGTTACTCCCTTATATTAGCCATATAGGTATATGCGGCCCCATCGGGTAGGGTTTTTGCGCCGTTTTGGTCTGACAACGGGTATACACTTTGCTTATTAGTCTCGCTCCCACCAAGAATTCCCAGGAGTGCCCCCCCCCCGGAGCTTGTGTCACTTTGGACATAGTCTGGTTGACAAAAAAACTAAGCTCTACGCTTTTGATACATTGAAGAGTTATTTTTCTTTTTAAAATGCACATCAAGGCGAGATTTCTACTGTCTGGCTTTCCTAACAACTTATTTATTTTCCCATCATCTTTTAGTTATGTTGCCAAACCTTTTAAGGGAACAGGAAAGGAATTTCGAAAAAAATCTTTGAAATCTTCTTTGTTGCAGTGAATTTTGTCAACTAGAACTCAGTAAAAGAGACTTTAGGAGTGCCGTTGACAGACTCAACTCGAATGTGTTACACTTGTGTTTTACTCAGGTAGGAAAAATAATCACTGATACGTCAAACTTTGAAAAAAAAAAACAGTAAAGCCCGTAGATTGTTATCTTAGTGTGGTAGAGCGAATTATGCACTCAAAAATTACTTCCGGAGTGGTGACGCGACTCAGAAGTTGGCATTTCCTCCTGTCCAGTCCACTGCCCCACGCGCGCGAGTGTTTTGCTCGCTCTTCTGTCTCTCAGAAAAGTAATGGATTACTCGTAATTCATTAAGCTTACTTCTAGCAATTCAGGAAAATTTAACTTCGCCTAATGGAGCCTGTTAATATGAGAAGTTTTGTTAGACCAATTGTTTTTAACGTGTAGTTTTACCTGACCTTGATTCCAACAGCTTGTGCTTGTCCATGGTCATTATAAAAACAAGAATTAAATGAGATAATAACGCCAAATTGAATGGTAAATTTAATGTATCAGGCTTCGCCAAGTGTTTTGTGTGCTAATCACTTACGTTTTTTAGCACGTAGAACCTTCCTTGCTTCACTCCAGGAGAATTTTACATAATCTTTACACCTGCGTGAATTCTTTACATCTTGGCCGGTGAGTTTTTTTGCGTTTCTTTTCAACAATTGTGCTTTGGTACGTGGAAAAGAGCTTTTGCAAAAGCACAACCATCCACCACACCCTCCTGGGGCGGGTTTTTCAAAGCAGGGTTAAGGTAACCCAGGGTTAGTGCCAAGTATATATTCAGATATTAAAGCTTTAAAAGGAAATTCAGTTTAATCCTCTTTGCCTGTAATGTAATGAATTGATGCTCTATAAAGAATAGTGAAAATTATCCAGGTAAATGCTTTTGAACAAAACAACAAGAAACCCAGATTAAAATGTAATCCTGGGTTAGTGCTAATCGGCTTTCGATCAACTGGGCCCTGGGGGAGTACTGTGCCTAGTGGAACAAAGAGAGTTCATATTGTTACTGAGTGAATGGCTAAATTCTGATCCGCTATAATTATATATTATCCATCTTCTAGTTTGACCATTCAAATGAAAGCTTCTGTGTAGTACGTTCCCGTGGTACTGTTTATTATGATATACAAGCCAGTTCTAACTTTTCATTATGTGGATGAAATCTTAGTAAAGTGTGACCATTCAGTTGAAATCTACTGAGCAAAACTTGTCTGTGATACTGTTTATTATGCTAGAGAATTTTTCACACTTTTTAGCTATCTTTAGTTTGTACTATTTTTTAAACGGATCAATGTTGTGAATCTTTGTGGTAATTTCGAACGAAACGTGCAAGAGTAAAATATCCCAAGCCGCTAACGATACGCCATTTTACTTTCTCTTTATAGGGGAGGTCCATTTGAATGTCATCCCAAGCTGGTAACGGTTAGCTACGAAAGCAGTGATAGCGATAGCAGCGACAAAACTGACGGCGGTTCGGAGGAAGCAAACAGTGAGTCGGACGCGGAGTGGGAAAATTTACCCGCGAACTTAGTCCATATTACAGAAGCTTCTGCCCCGCCGGGACCCCTGAAAGGTTCATTGTCACAGTCTTCATCATTAGGAGATGGTCAGAAGTTGCAGGAGCCCGCGACAGCATCGAGTCTAGTTAGTTCAGCGGCTGCCTCTGTGGCTGCACTGTGGCCGTGGAAGAAATAACGTTGGTTTTATTCACGGAAGGGAAGTTTCTCCTAACCGTTGTTGGCAGTTTTTAATCAGTTTGTGACATTTTTATATACATTCTTCTTCCGCCTTGGGCCTCTTTCTCAGAATCCGTCACCTGTAATTTATAACCTGAATGAAAGGATACTGAGGAAGGTCGTTGTGGCCTGCAGAACGGTCCATCTAGCTTGGTCAACTTACAGTTCTCCTTACCTAATTTTTAAACTAGCAATGTTGGGTTTTTATTCTGAGAAACACTGCATACATCCGGCTCTTTTTTATAGAATTTTTTAGATACACGCCGCACAGCAGAGATCTTTCTGGTTGGTGATTGGTTCACCTTTAGCTAAACATGTACCTTAGCTGGTGCTTAACTGACGACATACGTATGCACGCATTTTCACGTGAATTCTTGGTTCGCATCCTTACCTGATTTTCAACTGCGTCAAGTGCCGATCTTTTTTCACTTTCCTTTTTTCGCAGGGTTAAATAAAATTTGAGGGAAGCAAAGAAAAAAAAAAGAAATACAAAGCAATAAAGTCAAATAAAAACGTTTATAACTTGGGGTAAACTCCAAGGCAGGACCTTGCCCGTTCTTCTTATGTCGATCAAATATAGGAGAGTATTTACCACTATATCCCGTCTACCCATCTATCTTGAAGATAGTCAACATCAATATGTCCTGATAATTTATATTAGGAGCTTCGTCCTCAAACCAAAATTACAATAAACTTCATCAACAATATTGGTGTATCTCTTTTCTTTCGGATTGATAAAGAAAATGGAATTCAAGGATTGTTCACTGGCGCGGAGAGATGTAGGGTTGAAACAAGAATATTGATTGCCAACTAAGAGTGTGCAGAGTGGGTGTGTCTTGTAAGAATTCTCTCAGCGATTTATTACTTTCTTCTTGCTCTCGTAGCATTTACAAGCATGGACAACGTTTCAATGTTCTTGACTATCGTTGTCATAGACCTCAGGCCCCAAATGTTCAAAAGTTAGATAGCGCTTTCTCCTAGTAGATGAATCACCATCCAGTGGATAACTAGTGAGAAAACTAATTGCCTTACTGACTGGATAGAGACTTATTTTATATCCAGTGGATAGTAGTTTCCACCAATTGAACAACCGCAACACTGAGTTCTGATGTTTGGCTGGATTTTATACAACCGCTTCGACTGTTCAGATCGCTTTCCTTTCAGCGCTCTTACGTAGCGATCATATAATTACAGGCTTTACTCGTTTCCCGTGCAGACACCCACTTCACGAATTCCCCTCTTGGCACCGTTTACCCGTCTGCCCGTGCCAGTGTTAAGACCACGCGATTGCATGTTTTCAAAGGCCCTTTCATCTTGCCCATTCTCGTCACCAGTGCCCCGGTCTAAATATGGCCATCCTGTGGCCGCGCGCACTAAAGAAGTAGGTTCTAATGCAAGCGACAATGAGACAAACATAACTACGTAAAAATATAAATAATTGTTTATTGTATTTATCACTTGAAATTTTGAACAAAATATATTATATGTACACTAATAATAAGCTAAAGTTAACTCCTTTCCCTATTTTCTAGTCACCATATTTTTTATTGCACCAACGGGTAGCAAACGCCTAATTTCCGCAATCAAGTAGCTAAGTGCACATCCTCTATGAACAAAGCACTTACATTTCACATTTACATGGATACCGGCGAAAAAGGATTAACCATTTAGTTTTGAGACTTGCGTCATAATTTGACAACCTATCTACATCAATAACTAAATTTCATTTGGAACATTTAAGTTCATAATTACTCTTCATCTGTTTGTCGTCCTATCTCAGTTTTTTCGAGAGAGAACGTGCCTGAATTTCCTAACTTTACAAGAGGCAAGGGGATTGCTTCTCTATATTACACACGCTGAACAGCCCAAGCTTTATAACTTTTTTTTTCTTGAATAAATTTAAAGACCACGAAATATTTGTGGAATTGGCAATGACTTCTTTAGCCGTTTTGCATACGTATATCAATTTAAATTTATACCAGTTAGCAAGGCGATCGTGCAACAAAAGTTTTATGAAATTTGAAAAGCGGTTAAAAAAAAAAAAAAAAAGCCAAATCACTTAGTCGTTGTGGTCTTTGCTCCAGAGATCTCTATTCGCCGTATTTGGCCCTAATTTCTTGTGTAATTTCAAGATGCTGTCGTACAATTTCTTCCACCACTGACGGATCAGCTAAGGTGGAAACGTCACCAAGCTCATCGGGTTTATCAGCAGCAACCTTTCTCAATATGCGGCGCATGATCTTTCCTGATCGGGTCTTCGGAAGACCTGACACCACCTAACGAAAAAAAATAAAACATGTAGAACTTGGTCAGGTGCATTCTCGGATCACGTGCTTTTTCCCACGTTGGGTAAAGATAACTGTATATTTTATGCGCGCGCGCTCTCTACCGGCACCAAACACTTTTCCTTTTGGTTCGTTCCCAGGACTTTTCCCCTCAGAAAATGAGACAAAATTTGCATGTTTTCCCGCGCTTTATACCAGCTGCACATCAGCGCATGACATTGGGGTTGCATGTGTTCCCACGTTTAACCCGCTGCATGTTTTTCTGTGCACAGCAACAGTTGCATGTTTTTCCGCAACCTCGTTACGAGTAGGAGAGGACCCTGGGAACGAGGTTGATTCCCCCGCTTAGAATGACTTGCAAAATCACCTTCAACTATCTTTTTGCAGATGGTCATGCAATGCCGGATACAATTGTATCCGTCATTGCACGACCATCTTAGCTTCGCGTCTCATTTTCTTCACGACTCTATGACAGTTTGTTTCGAACAGTCACTACGGTTTTTTGGTCTCGAACTCACCTGGATAACGTCAGGTACGGCGAAAGAGCCTATCTTCTGTCGGACAATAGCCTTCAAATCTTTTCTCAACTCTTCTGGTGACACAACAGCCTCGTCTTTCAAAATTGCATAAGCATAAACACCTACAAAATACAATTTAGGAACCTAGTGAATTACAACATTACATTTGAGTTCGCAGCTGTACCCCCAGTACGAGTCGCGAGATCTTCAGCTTTAATCTGCTCAAAGAAACGACTGGTTGGAGCAAAAAGAACAATACACTACTGTTGTAGCTAACAGACAAGTGTACCTCTGTAGTAGATATTTGATGAGTGCCAGTCAGCAAAAAATATGTAAGTATACGCACTTCGAACACGACCAGCGTTCGGCACCCCATATTTGGCTTTTACTCGGAAAGATTGGCGGTTTTTCGGTGTTGCAGATGGGTACAATTACCAAATGACGTCACACAAAAGATTGGCAAGACACTGAACAATACCCAAACCCACAACACAACAGCGAACCAACAATGGTTTCCGCGACACCAAGAAAAACTCCAAAAAGTTCGAAATATTTGAGTCTGCTGTCACTCAGCGGCTCATAGTAAAGAAGCATCTGAAAACAATTGCAATTTGTGGCCAAATGACGTAGAACGCTCTTTAGATTTTGACTTCGACAGTGAATAAGAAGCTCAAGTAAAACATACGTTTGCTGGAAAAGATTTCACTGATTGATTGGCCATACAACAAAAAATAATACAAATGTTTATAGAAATTCAACTAGTATAAATAATTACATAATAATCTCACCCGCAAATGACCAAGAAACTAATCGAGGCGGCGAAGAAAGACATTTCTGACTGCAGGAATATCAGCATTAAATCCTTTATCTGCCATGTGGAAGCACGCTTGCAGTAAAAAGTACGTTCTTACCTTCTCCTTTAATTGGATGTGGGAAGCCCACGACAGCTGTCTCAGCTACTGCCTCGTGGTTATCCTGGGTTAAAAATAAATAATAAAAAAAACAGATAAGTAAATAAGTGATGTTTGGGATCCAGTCCAACAAACATCACCAGTTACCAAGGCATCCTCGATTTCCGCTGTTCCTAGCCGCTTGCCGCTCACGTTGATGACGTCATCCATCCTTCCCGTGATTCTGTAGTCACCGTCGATGTCACGCAAGGCTCCATCGCCAGTAAAATAGAAACCTAAAAAGTAACAAACGTCAGCGCTGATGAGGATTTTAGATATTACTTGCGGTTTGTTCACTTGGTAAGATTTTCGCCTGTGTTACTCTAGTTTCTACGAGGAATTTCATCAGAAAAAGGACAATAAATTAAGGCATATAACGTGACAGTCTATTGCTTTCGTCTCATGTCACTAAAAATTCACCGAACCGTAACGCAAGTTCCGACATAAAGTTTCCTGGTTACATGTTTGTGAGGGTGAAGGCAAAGTAGTTTTAACATCACTTAGAAGTGAAACCTCAAGTAAAACCTCTTAATTCCATCCTTCTACGCTGCTAATGTAACCTCGAGTTCGCACGTACTGTATTTACGAGCAATGACGTCATAGGTGCTTACGTATTCCCTCAAAATCCTTCCGCGCTAATATGAGCAATGACGCCATCGGGCTTAATTGAAGTGAAACACACGCTCTATACTACTCAGGTGTCGAATACTGTAAACAAGATCGCAACTCCCACAGTTTCGAAAGCCATTTACATTATGCAAGGTTCGTACTCCTTTGAGCTCTTCAAATTCCATAACTTTCCATGACTTTTTTCATGACCTTTCCAAGTTTTCCATGACCATAGATTTAGCTGTCACGTTAAAAGTTTCTAAACATTTTCCTTGTTTTAGAATATTTTTTGACCTCGCTTAGTAATAACATCTGCAGTGACTAATCTACCAAAGTACTTTTCCATAACTTTCAAGGACCGACAATTAAATTCCATCACTTTCCAGGCCTGGAAAATGAAATTCTTAAATTTCATGACTTTCCAGGTTTTCCGTGACCTGTACGAACCCTGATTAGGATTCCCTTAATCAATTTTACATGAAGAGCCCACACCTTTAAAAGGATTGTAGTAGGTGTCCAGATAGCGTTGATGATGACCATATACGGTACGTGACATGCTGGGAATAGATGTACGGATACAGAGGGCACCTTTGACGTCATTTCCGATTAACTCTCGGCCCTGAAAGAAAAAAAGCAGTATAATAAGGTCTATAAAAACAAAGATCGCGCACAGTGCGGGCCTGCAACAGTCCACCAGGTATTTTGTGAGAAGTGGCTAAAAATGCAGTTTCGCAGCACCCATTACGGGAGATAACTTCCTTGGTATCATATTAAAGCTTAGGGTGTCCTAAGTTGTAATTGGTCTGTTTCCTGACATGAAACTTGAGCGTTATCGAGAGAATGGGCTGTTTTACGGGTGGTGGGTGAGGAGAAATTTTGTCCCTGAAATCATAAAACATAAATATTCAAAGCCTTTCTCTCGATTTATCTGTCCATTTCAATTCAAACTTTCTGAGATAAACACTTCATGGTGAAAAATGAAACATTCATGATCTTATGTTTGCAATGAGTTGCCATGGCAACGGTTACTAAGGAGTAACAAACATTTGGTTGGCTTATTGTAATAACAACTGCTTTAAAAGAACTAGTATGCAAAACATCTGCTACAAAATGATAGTCTTGGGTATTATCTTTATAACTGTCTTTCTTAATTATCCTGTTCGTACTAGATCTGTGCGCTCATCATGTCTAGCCGCAGGTAGGATTTCGTCGGACATTAACAAATTTTAGTTGGACAGTGCCCGATGACCGACTTCGCCTCTCTCCTCCGCAGAGGCCTCGTTGTGTCGTAGAGAGCCTGGGGAGAGGGAAAAATAAAAGCGCGCGGGTAGCGATGGGAAGAGGAAAGATCCCGCCTTTTCCCTCTTCCCATCGTCTACCGCTCTTACCTTTTATTTTTTGTTATTTTCCTTCATTGTATACCGTAAATGAACTAATAAACGCCCAGGGCGTCTATTTAATTTTAGGGATCCAAGCGGGGGCGTTTAATAGACAGGAGGCTCTTAAAAAAGAGGCGTTTATTCTGATAACTGTAACAAGCTCAACAAAACTAAAATGCTTTCGGCAAAAATATCAATATTAAGAGAGTTTAAAAATAGCGGAATATCCACTCTATCAGTTGGTACGTCTAGATCCTCTAGAGATCCATATCGCTCTCTCAAATACCAACATTGATATCAGAATCCTCGCTCAAGGTTTACTGTGTTGCCATCGTTAGTCTATCCTTACTTTGAATTGACATTAAGCAAGATCAAATACACAAAGCCCTTTTTATGTTAACCAAGCAAGAACCTTAAAGAATTCAATGATTTTGTTCCTATTTGCTACTTACTAGTATTTTGGAGTAATTCTCAGAGGGGGGGTCCACTAGAGAGGGGGCGTTTACTAGAGAGGGGCGTCCAATATAATTCTAACAGCGTAGAGGGGGCATTCAATAGATAATAGGCGTCTATTTGGAAGTGGGCGTTTATTAGGTCATTTACGGTACCCAGCGGGAGCCTCTTCGGAGGAGAGAAAGCAGCCTTGTAGTGTGATGTCCACAAACATGATGAAACATGGCAGGAAGTATTCCCTGGAATGAAACTAAAGCGCATGTCTACTAGCACCATGTCCAGACTATTTGATTTCGGATTTGTAGCTTGCGGCGGTGCGTGCAACGTTTTCAGAAGTGTGTGTGGAGCAGAGCGACGAATAGTAGGGATAAAGTAAAGTAACATGTCATTGTAAAACCACCCTTAAATCACACTTACAATGTACCTTTTCATCCAATATAACAGGCTCTACCCCGAAAAAGGGCCTCGTGGGGAACTCTGGTTTCACGGGTGACTCATCTGGGGCGGGTCTTGGAGAGAGAAGAATTCCACCAGTCTCTGACAGAAATCAAATTTGTTAAAATAGTACAGTTACCACTCTCTCAGCAAGACAACATATGGGTCCCTCTTCACCAAGGGTCTAAGAAACTGAGGATTGCGTTGCTAGGAAAGTCACACACTAAAGTTTGATTTTTAAAAGGTGGCTGGGGGTAATCTTAGCATCCAATCAAGAAGGAAAGAACCAATACCCCTCTAGAGCAGCTTCTTCCTCAAAAGACTGTTCACAGTCCCCTATTTTCCCGTACGATCGTCAATCGAAATCGAGCGCTTTGCATCACCGGTGGCTATCTTGGATGCAACAAGCGTCAAATCTACTTAGGGGTCGGGGGACGGGTACTGGTAAGCGTTCGATCCTAATAATCTTAAGAAAAAATAGGGGACTGTGAGAAAAAGTCGGAAGTAAAAACGGGAAGTCAATTTTGCAGCTTATAAATTTCGTATATTGGTTACTCCACCTTCGTGCAACAACGGCAAAAGAAGTGTACAATAAAGTTCTTGTTTTGTTAACTTAAACCCACTGGCTTTTTTGTCGTTCTCATTGGCGTCGCCGTCATCGTTGCCAGCAACGAGAACGTCAAAAAGGCCACAGGCCTAGCTCTAATTAGCAAAACACCAACAACCTTGCACGTGCAGCACACTTTTTTGTACATTTCAATGCCGTCACTGCACGACTACGACGTGAAAATGCCTACTTGCATGTTTTATAGAGGACGTATGCAAGCGACGACATTTTTTTTTCTGAACTTGCATATGGCTCGTAGAAATTCAACACCAGGAAGGTAAGTTCGCCTACATTTGGCAAGGTAAGAGAGTTGTCATAATCGCGAAGTAAGATTATAAAGGAAAGCGAGTTCACCTTTGAAGCGATGCTTTCTTCACCGTCGCCGCCCCCGTATCTTAAGGTGATGTTACACGGGACGATTCGCGACGACGATTTCTAGCGCCACACAGCCTTACAACATTGTTATTTCATTGTTTCGAATGGCTGCAATATTGTTTTAACATTTGAACCCTGTGTTGCGTTAAAAATGGTCGTTGCGAATCGTCCCGTGCAACATCACCTTTAAGGTCCCCACTTATTAGACTTTCAATAAAGTCCTTCGTCTGATTTAATATGACGCGGGACGAAGCTCTCGCGACTTCGTCGCTCGGTCGGCCGCTTCGCGGCCTAAAAAGGCTTGCTCCGCTCGCCAAAAGGTCGACTTGCAGCAAGTCTACCTACTTATGTGCAAAGGACGACAAAGAAATGCACCAGAAGTGTGATACAAATGCAGCCCGTATTTCGCATTACTTCTAATGTTTGTTTTAATGCTGTCGATGCTTTCGCCGTCTTATGTCCACACGATTCTAGATTTTTTGAAACCGTATACTTTTCTTACACGAATCGGCCATCTGTCCACACGAAACCAGTCAATTCACTCATCGAAACCGCATTGTTTTTAAAGCGCTCTCCAGAGTGGTTTAAGGCCCCGTCCACACGAATCCGCATAAACAAATATGCGGTTTCAAAAATTTCCGAATTCGTGGGGACGTGGACTAAGGCCCTGTCCACACCAATGAATCCGGATATTTTTCAGAAACTACATACTGAGTTTACACCAATCGGCCTTTCGTCAACACAAAACCAGTGACTCCGCTCACCGAAATCGCATCTGTTTGAAACCGCTGCCCAGAGAGGGTTAAGGCCCGTCCACACGAATCCGGTTTCAAAAAGGTCTGAATCCGTGTGGACGGAGCCTTAGTTTATAGCAAGCTTTCTGCAGTTACTGTTAACTTCGGTCGCGAACCTTGACAGTCCATTCTTACCAGTTTGCCACCACGTGTCCACAATAACACACCTCTTCTCTCCCACCACCTCATGATACCAATGCCATGCCTCGGCGTTAATTGGTTCACCAACTATAAAATGAAAAACAAAAGGGTCACGTTGAACGCTGTTCACTCTACTGAAAATATTTCTGATTTCTTGGTCTGGAAACATAATAAATAAAAAATACGGACGTTTCCCAATGCAGCAGAACCACAAGAAAGTACTGCTCCTTAAATTTCATTTCAGTGGTCACACTTCAGGATTTCAACCAAGAAATCACGTTGTACATGATTATAATGTCACGTAAACAGTACCATAAGAAAGTGCTGTTCCATTTGAATAGTCACACTAAGGGATTTTATCCCCAGACTCAAATGTTAGGACTACCTTGTGACCATAAAGAATACCAAAGGAAAGAACTGCTCCATTTGAACAGTCCTGCTATAGGGTTTCCCACAGACTCACAAGTTTAGAAGATCATTACACGTCTTTGTAACCAGCTCTGGCTGCATCTTATCAACAAACCTGTCCCAAGGAGCTTTAGTGATGACCTGTCATACTTTGTCACATAAGAATTACTGGATTTAAGTAGCAGTCGCAGGGCTGTTGGTGCTCCATAGAATTGGTTCACTCTTAGTCTCTCCACCATCTCCCAATAGCGACCTGGGTCAGGGTACGTAGGGGTGCTCTCAAACAGAACTGTGGTAGCCCCATTGGATAATGGACCATACACTACATAGCTATGGCCTGTGATCCAGCCAATGTCAGCCACACAACCAAATATGTCTCCTGGTTGGTAGTCAAATACATACTACAGAGAAAAAACGCTGATTAACATTTGATTGCTGGCATTTGACAAAATATTGCAATTGGGGTTTGTGCCGCAGACATACTTTTTTTCTATTTATTTTATTCATTCACACTGATATAAGTTACACGACGTACATAACCACATGATAAGGAGTTGGATAAGGAATTACGAAATAGGGAAGAGACGAAATGCATCTTACAACAAGTATAACACTTTTGACGATTATAGTGACCTGGCTGTATAACTGACTAATCTAAACCTGGCAAGTATTTTCTGCAATTTAGTAGCACTGAGATCCTTTCCCTAGGCCCCAATGGACTCAGCAAATTACTGGAAGTGCCTTTTGAATTTTACTTCAACCTGATTAGCAAATAAACAATGGCTTTTTAACAGGCCAATCATATCACACACTCAAATCCTGGCATACAGTTGGGGGCCCACAACAAGGATTTTGGTGCTGGCTTGCAGACGAACCTCACCAGCGGTTTGGTTTTCTCCGTACTCTCGTAACTTTTTCTGTTAATTTTCATGGCTTCCTTTATTATCTTGGGGTAGGGAGAGGATGCATTCTATCATGCTTCAGAGGAAACAATAATTATTGAGAATTTTGTTTACATAAATCTTTGGTTGTTTCTGATGAAGTTGTCTGCATTTGGACACAGCTGGGCTTAGGAGGGGATAAAGCTTATGTAAGACAAGTTTTCAAAAGTCAACATTAATTTTTGATCCAATTCACAGAATAAAAAATGCTTAAATTAAGCCAGGAGTTATCTGCAGCAATCACACCTTATGAGTTAGTTTGGCATAAAGAAGGTACCCAGCCTGTGTGTGTACCACACCCTTTGGTTTCCCTGTGCTTCCAGAAGTGTACAGTAAGAACAAGACATCTTCACTGTCCATTGGTTCTGGATCACATTCTGTTGATTGCTTGCTCATTTCCTAAGGAGAAATTCAAATCAACTAAATGTAAGACACATTAGTACTTTGACATGACGTTCAAATAGACAAATCAGGTGCGGATCCACACCGGTTTCCACCATTTTACAAAAATCAGTCAGATTTTTCATAATAAATATATTTTTTAATAATAAAAAACTTTCCAAGTTGAAATCTGGTCAATATCCTGTCTGAACCCAGAAAAGGGAATTTAGGGAGGTAAATTAATAAAAATTTCCCAAGGGGGAGCATGCCCCCAGACCCCCCTAGATGCTTGTGCCTTTGGCACTCATTTAGGAAATATTCTAGATCTACACAGGTCTGCAAACATTCTCCTTTGGGAGTCATTAGTTTCCTAGAAATATGGCAGACTTTAAACACAAGTAGTTGCAAGACAAGTAATGTGTTATTTCTACCTTGATAATGCTGATGTGTAAATCCTACTCAGCAAAAATTTCATTGTTAGTTTGCTTTGTAATTATCGTTTCCTTTGATTTCTGGTTGCAGACTGTGAAAGACTGGAAAGTCTTGTATTAGCATTGGTTGTCTCAGCCTCCCTATACTATTAGACTCAGTTCCTTTGCACATGTTAAAAAGTCCTCTTTTACAGATGACCTTTCTGCCATTACAGTCTGTATGTAGGTTTAATTAATAAGCTTGCAAGTGAATCTGATACGGCAATAATTTTGATTGACAACAATAACAAGAACTCAGAGTAGCTCAAGCTCTACCCACTTAACATTCCCTGAAATAAGAAAGCAACCAGTAACGAAAGGCTAACCTTTTCAAGAGGAATGTCAATCTTTCCCATGGGTACATCAGCTCCTGTACGGCTGGCCACAAACACTCTCTTTACACAAGGACTCTCTGCCACTGCCTTATCCACCACTGTTTTCAAATCAATGCACTTCCCGCCCCTTACAATTTGGTCTGCTGTGATGACCGTTCCTGCATTTGCTATTTAAAAAAAAAGCAAGACACTTTTAAAAATTCAATTATTAGTCGCAAGCTTTACATCCATTCGTGGTAATTTATTTTTTCAACTTATACCCTTTGTTAATAAATTCCTTAGTCATTTCTAATATTATTAGTACCAATATCGAGGGCATATTATTGTCATAACAAAAATCATAATGGTAGGAAAAAAAACAGTACACTGTATTAAACAGCAAGTCCAAAATATCAAGGAATGGAGGGACAATGAGGTCTGTTCTGTAAAATAATTCTGTGTGGTGTGGTTTTGTGCCACTAGGAAACTACTCTTTTTCCTTCTCAATACCTGCTCTAGACTAATGAAAGTGGTGTACTATTCCCATGCAGCCAAAATTGTCTGATTTCTATTCCCTGTACTAAAACTAAAGCATTATACAGTGGAACCTCTCAAAAATGGCCACCCTGGGATCCAAGGTTAAAGCCGAGAGGTGACCACTGTAGAGAAAATAAGACAAAAGTGAATGTATATATGGTTTGTCCACCAGGGAAAAAACTTGGCTATTGTGGAGATCTATCAAGGTAAACGTTGTAGAGAGATGGCTTTTAGTAAAAGTTCAACTATACTTCAAAAACAGAACCTGATCTTACCGTCAACAATTCTGCTAGCCAGTGCATCTGAGCTAAACCCAGCAAATACCACACTACAAATGAAAAAAACATACTGACCTTAATTCACCGATCACCTTCTTCTCAATGCTCAATATTGCTCATAATACTATACTTGCTGTTGCAAGCCTTAAAATGTTGCCTTAGCACCAAGGTGACAGACCTTTATAGAGAGGGTTAGTGGTGGCAGACTTCTACAATAAAATAGTGGTCCCGTCTCCACACTAGAGACATGAAAAATGTGTCCTGTCCTCAACAAGTGTAATACATTGACACCTTAATAAAGTTTTTTTTTTTTTCATGACTAGCATGCAAAGAACAATGCAAGATATGTTCTGGATGTTTAAAAATAAAGTATTTGCTCGGGGAATTGGGGGGGCGGGGGAGGGGTTGGGGGTTGCATTCCCCTTCACTTAGAGAAGTAAAGATTCTTGGACTCTCAATCAAATATCCACCTTCCAAATATTTCTGTTTTCTAGAATTTCCTGGAATGTGGTATTAAAAACTAACCTGGTTCTAGAACAGGACATCATTTTAAATACAGAATCCTTCAAAAATGAGGTGCAAGGGGGACTTAAGAAGTACTGACCTATGAGGAGCTCCAATTCTTGCACAAGCCAGCATTGCCGCCACAGCTAAAGGACTTACTGGCATGTAAATACACACTACATCTCCCTTCTTAACACCATGGTCTTTTAAGACATTAGCCAATCTGTTCACCATTTCATACAACTCCCTGTAAATAAAAATAAAAAGATGGTCGGTTATACCAAAAAACCTTTATTTCTAGTCGCTTAGTGCTGCATTCATTTCTTTATCTCAGAGGGGTGTTTACCTCAAAGAGGTACCCATCTTAGGCAGATGATGAACTTATAAAGGGAGGAGTCCACTTTAGAACAGTACCTATCCTATGAGATGTCTACAAAATAAGGAGAAGACCATTTAAGTGAGGAACCCATTTCAGACAGGTCTCCATCTCAGAGATGTTCAATTTGAATGGTGTCCATCTTGGAGAGGTGTCCATCTCAGAGAAGTGTCACTCTTGGAGAGATTTCCGTCTTATTGATGTGTCTGGCTGAGAGAGATTTACATCTCAAAGAAGCGTCCATCTTCGGGAGGATTCTATCTTAGAAAGGCCTCAATGTTTGATAAAGATGTCCATCTTCGAATCATTTTCACTTTTAGTGATGTATCCATCTAACAGAGGTTCCCATCTCAGAGAAGTGTCCATCATATAGAGATGTCCATCTCAAGGAGATATCCATTTTTCAAAAGTGCCCATCTTCACAGACACACGCATGTCCATCTTGGGGAAGTGTCCACCTTAGCACTATGTCCATCTTTAAGAAGTGTCCATCTAAGCGATGTGTTCATCTTGGAGAAGCATACATTTTAGGGATGTGCCCAGGGTAAAAAAATCTCCTTCATTGTTGTTAATATTAGAGAGATATCAAACCTGGGCAGGAGAACATTCTGGGTAACAGAACACTTTAGAGAAGTGTACAACTTGAAGACTGGAGGGGTTTCTGTTGGAGTGGTATCTATTCTTGACAGGCATCCTTTTCAGAGAGATGTCCAGGAGTGAGTGTCTTTGTTAGAGATAAATAAATTATGTGCCTCTAAGTTTGATGTAACTATCTGTTCTCCAGAGCATAAGGAAATAAGATCAAGACATAAGATCAAGGTGTCCATGCATTTAAGAAAGGTGCTCACTTTAGGAGGATATTAAGTACACAAACTGTGTTCAGTTTTCCAGTTGCATTATGACTACTAGGATGGACAAACATTTTTAAATAGCCTAATATCACAGTCAAAGACTCTTCACAGATTACCTGTAGGTCACTCGCTCAACATCCCCTGGCTCATCCTTCTCCCAGATCAGAGCGCAGCGATCAGGATCTGCTTTCATATGTCTATCAACACAGTTTACTGTAGGGAAAAAAAAACCTGTATCCTGAGCCTAGCCTGCAAAACGAGTCAACATTTTGTGACCTCACCAACAGTGAAATGATACCAGAGGAGGAATGAGCACAGAAATTCCATACTGATGCCATGTCTGTCACTACCCAGATCTAAATCGTGCTTCTGATTGCTTAAGGCATATTTTTATCCAATCACTAGTACTACCCAGGTCAGGGTAGGGACACGTCATCAGTATGGAATCTCCGCGTACTTTTCTCAGACATCATTTTCCAGAGAAAATGTTGGTGGGGTCGAAAAATTTTGGGTTTTTTCTGAGGCTATCCTTAGCCCTGAGACATTTGACTACCAATGTAGTGAGAAGGTTCACAAATTTATAGCACATTGTGCTCTCCTGAGTTGAAAATAGCAATTGGGAAATTGAAAATGAATGATTAATTAAGTGTTTGACTAACTGCTTTGGTAATAATATTGATTGATTGATTGACAGAATTTGCTTAAAAAATATTTAGTTTCCAGGAGGGGGAAGGGGAGCTTTTTTCTTGTCCATCAGTATGGCCACTATGACTTCAGTTGCAAACCAGCAATAAGCAGAGTGTTTAAAATAAGAAAATAAATACAACAAAACAAATGTAGAGGGCTATGTGGGATTTTTTCCATGAAATCCACCAAGGGCGTGGTCGCGTGGAACAATAAAATGAGGTCATACCTTCCCTACCCTTACAATTTGCTTTTGTCAACAACAACTCTTGAAAATTTAAGGTTGAAATACTCAGAATCAAACACGAAGATCTATTAACCTGAAACATTCAGTTTTCCTCCTACAAACCACTTATGCCACCCTATCTTCATTTTAACATCCATCACTTTATCAAAAGGCTTGATCCAGTCCAGTCGCGTTGCTCCAAGTTGTCCCCAGAAAGTCGCAGGATCTCGGATGCTTTGCTGGTAAAGTTTATCCCAGTCTGCAGTAACATGGTCGAGTTGTGGTGGAGTGTATTCTTCCGTGAAGAAAGACGACGCTTTTCGGCAAAGAACGGACGAAATCCGTGTAGGGATCAGCCTTCGAGGAATGAGCAAACTCGCCATGATTTTGTTTGCTCCAGAGGCTATTGGAATTCTCCTTCATGTTTGCCAACACGAAATACCTACCGGGAGCTTGCTCGTCCCCATCAGGTCATTTCTATCTCAACCAATCAGGCATGTTTTTTCCTTTTTTTAAAGACATAATAGAGATGTAGTGGAGTTCCCATACTTCCGAAATTTAGACAGTCCCCGTCCTACAGCAACTACAGATACTACATTTACTACGGGTACTACAGTTACCAGTTGCCAGGCTGGGGACATTCTGAACAATCTTACACTAAGTAGTACCCCAGTCCCGTTTCTACCCAGGAAACCAAAAACGTGACACCCACGGGCGCATTTTTGTCTGATTTTTGGGTCGAAAATCATTGTTGCCAAGCTAACATTGCTAAATTCTTGTGTTAAGATGGATTTTGGTTCATTTCATTAAGACGGACCAAAACCAAATAAGGAGTTTTCTTTTCTTAAACAATTTTAGTTAAATATAACCAGAAAAGCTTTGAGTTTAAATTGTTGTAACTGTACTGTAAAGATGATTAAGAGAGCTTCCGACAGTTTTTACACTGTTTGAATCGCGTTATCATTGATCACGCCCTCTCATCATGGAGAATTTACCTTGTCACGGGTATAGTCAGGTGCCAAATGTGCTTCTTGTATATAGTTGTGATATTTTGGTGTAAAACATTTTCTTTGTTACAGCTGGAGATAAACGTTTAGTATGCCTTTTTTTGTGCATTGTTGAGCCTAAGTCATTTCACAATTTACTTTGTCGGGTTCATGATAGTGACTGACTGAATTCATTTAAAATTTTCCAAAAAAATATGACAGGACGTTTCTCCTTACTCTAAGGTTTCAGTCTGTCAGAAATAATTTGTTGGTATTGGAAACATTGTAAATGAATTTTCTTAACTCTCTTAATTAAATACCGTAAAATTCCGAAAATAAGCCCCGGGGCTTATATTTTTCAAAGACCCTTTTGAGGGGCTTATATTCGGAGGGGCTTATCTACGGAAGGAAATTTGCGTTTCAAAATTGATTGGACTAGCCTTATAGCTGGAGGTAAATTTACCATTTTTTCTTTGTCTTACTTTGTATTTGAGGGCAATTTTAAGCCCCCGGGGGGCTTATATTTGGAGGGGCGATTTAACGGACGGTTTTTTGCGTTACCGGATTGGGGGGCCTATATTTGGAGGAGCTTATACATGGAGGGGCTTATTTTCGGAATTTTACGGTAGTCTTACATCGCTTTTAATAAGCGAGTAACGGTTGATGTAGCTGCTAGCGTCGCCTTAGAATTGCAACATCCACATAGCTGAGTGCACACGACATGCATTACGGTATTTACAGCGTAGGCAAGTGACGAACCAAACTCATGTGGCACTGGCATTAACTCATGCTTCAATATCGCTTGCATTTGGCGGCCTTTCAGAAATCAGGCCCCGTTGTTACATACATACATACATACTTTATTGCACAGCTCACCCTTGGGGGCTCTTCCACCATACATACACGAATTAAAATAAAATGAAATAAAATAAACTAGAAAACTGTTTACGTTTTAATGATTAATAACGAATTTCTATAAATAATAATGATAGTAATAGAACGTTAATTTTAAAGACTATTTACATTTCAATAATAAACAACTATCTATGAATTAAAAAGATATTTAAAAATTCTCTTTTTAAAAGCGTTAAAATTTACATTGTCTCTTATATCTTTAGCTATACTGTTATAAAGTTTTGCCCCACGGTAGCTGAAAGTCTTTTGGCCAGTGACCAGCCTATCCCGAGGCAACGTAAGGTCTTTGTTCTGTCTTGTGACTCTTTGCTGAGTTTTTGCGCGATATTGGAAGCGTCTGTGGAGGTAACCAGGTGTTAGGTTCTTTAAGCATTTTTACACCATCACTAGATCGTTAAAAAACAGTTTGTCCATTACGTTAAGCCATTTAAGGGACTTCAGGGCTTCTGAAACATGATCGTACTTTCTTAAACCAGCTACGATTCTGCAGGCATAGTTCTGAACTAGCTGAAGTTTTCTAACGTTCTTCTTGCTCGTGCCACTCCATACCGTCGAACAATAAAATAATTTGCTGAAAACGAAAGCATTTATAACATAGATCAATGTTTTTTTTTTTTATCTAAGAGATGCTTCATCCCTTTAACTCTCGTTAGCTTAAACATACAGTCAGAGGCAGTTTTAGTGATATGTTCGAACGTTAAAGTTAAGATGACAATCTATATACACTCCCAGGTCCTTTGCAACTGTTACAGGCTTGATTTGAGTTCCCAGCATTATCGCACTTTGTAAGGGGGTAGGTAATGTCCTCACGAGTTGTGGGACGCCCACATAAAGAAGCTTTGTTTTGTCAGGGTTAATGAGAAGCGAATTTCTACAGCACCAAATCGATATTTCTTTAAGATCTTCGTTTACTGCAGAGATAACGTCGTCAAGTTCGCTGGCGGGGAACCCAAAGAAGAGCTTGGTGTCATCCACATAGCCGAGTGGTTCGCAATGTTTTGAAACTCGAAAGAGGTCGTGTACATACAATGTAAACAACACCGGACCCATGATGGATCCCTGCGGTACCCCAACCGTAAGGGGTAAGGGATCAGATACAGTATTCTGAAATTTAACGACTTGTTGACGTTGCGATAAATAGCTTTCGAACAAGGCACACGCAGACTCAGAAACACCAGATTTGCGAAGTTTACGTAACATTAAATCGTGTCGAATGCTATCAAAAGCTTTGGACTTGTCCAAAAGAACAACAACAGATATATATCTTCTTCTGATCCATGTTATTAAGCAATTCATCGGTGAAGTGAAGTACTTAGTGCAGACTCGGTTGAGTGAAGTTTTCTATTTCCACTTTGCAGGTGATGTATGACATTGTTTCAATCGAGGAAATTGGTAAACTGCGAGTGAGCCGCTCTTTCGCATACTTCAGATAAACTAGGCAGTAGTGATATTGGCCTCGTGTTCGCAGGCTCTTCACTGTCCCCGGACTTAAGAATCGGAACGATTTCTGCTTTCTTCCATGGAAGTGGAAAAGTACTCAAAGTAAAAGAATTGTTGATAAGACTTGTTATAGTGGGAGCGATAACTGGTGAGCTGTCTTTCAGGATTTGGCGTTAACTTCAATTACGTCGCTGAAGAATGTAGCCTTCGTTACATTGCACAAACTTTTCAATCTGAGTCAGTGTCCCTTCGATCAACTTAGACAAGAGAATGCTAAATTTCCGACTTCGTAGGCGGGATCTTTTGTCTGAGTGAAAAAACACCCCAATGTTTTCTGGTGCAGTGCATCTGCATTATCTTGCTTTTGTCGGCTTTCCTTGGCACAGTCTCTCTGAGCTGTGGATCAAGCGGTCATCGCGGTGTATGCATGATAATATTGCGCACTAATAAGGGAACCCAGGTTGTAGGATAGAATTCGAATTAGAATCCATCTGCTAAGCGCTGAGGAAGTTTTGTGATAACAACAATGCCACCACTCTTCTTCCAGTCACATTTTGCTACTCCAGAGCACCCTTTGTCTTTTCATTAGCCGAAAAACGTTTTTATCTCAACGTGCTTGGTGCACGAACAGAGGTTTTGCAATTGCCAAGAACACGTGTTATGGACGATGTTGAAAGGGTTCCATTGTTTAAATTGCAGCTTTTGTTGATACAAGTATTGCATTCGTTCCTCAAAAAGTAACCGAACCAAAACTAAGAATTTTATACTAAAGGGTGTTGTCATGCAATTGTCAAGTGACGGTTGAAGAGGAAATCCATTAGGAAATTGAGTAATTTTAATTTCCAGTGGACAAAAACCTTGTACCATGCAGTCTAATTTAAAGCATTGCATTCTTTTTTACATTTTTCAAATGCTACTCAAAGGGTTTAAGGCCTGGGTCAAAATTAAGATGTGTTCTGAACGTATGAATAATTGGCAATATCTCTCGCCAGGTTGCCTGCGTGCAGACGTCTCCTATTTCCTTTGTTGGGGCAGAGGTCAAGAAAATTTAAACACGTTACAACTGCATCTGAAATCAAATCCTATCGGGAACACCCACAGAAGCATAAACCACAGGAAATGATTACTCAGTATGCATGTAACAAACCTGCTTCATGACCTCTAAATGGAAGACTTAGCGCGGCAAAAATGAGACTTACTCAGTCAAAGGTTGGAATGCTACATGCACTGTGTAGTGCTAGTAATCTTCGCGCGAGAGAGAAAAGAAGAAAAACCTCTGTTCAAGCAGACTCTCAAGGTCACGTTTCGCCCGTCTCACGAGCTTATGATGTTTTGTTTGGCCTGTCAACTCTTATTTCTAACCGGATATTATTTCACAATTTATGCGAAATAGAATACCCTGCCAGCGGGACGCTGGAACACGATTAGCGACGGCGTTACGCAGACGTCCCTTTTCCGCGTGCAACAAAGGAAATAGGAGACGTCTGCACGCAGGCAATCGCCAGGAGACCAAGAATAAAATGCACTTTTCCCCAAAAGTAAATCTTGAGGTTTTCTTGTGCCTTGACGTTTAATTATGGTCACGTGACATGTCACGTGATAGCTGATAGCCTTTAAAAAGTGTAGAAAAGAATACGCTTAAAAAATTCCGGTACAAGCTTTTTGTCCACTGAAAATTAAAATTACTCAATTTCCTGATGGATTCCGTCTTAATATTCCTAGAAACTGTTCGAAATTTCTTACTTATCTTTACAGTACACTTCCACAAATTCAAGCGCTCAGTCTTCGTTTTTGTAAACTTAAAATTGGTAAAGGAAAGAAAACTCCTTATTCGGACAATGACATAGAAATGAAATGCCCCAAAGTACCATCTTAATTGAGCTTGGCAAACAATGATTTTGAAATCAGCGTCCTCGAGTTAGTAAGAATAGCTATGTTGCCAAAAATCAGACAAAAATGCCCGCGGGTGTTAAATGTTATACCCTGTGTATCCGACTAACAGTAATTTGCATGAAGCTAGTTTTTCACCTCTTTGATTTAGTATAGTTGTTGTTTATCACATTTGTAAACTAGGTCTCAAAGTATACTTTAGTAATTGAGTGTTGAGTTTGTTATTCATCATTATCTTTTCCGCATCTGGTAATCACTCTAACAACACTCGAGACACCAAAGACAAGTTTTGTCCTGGTTTTACTTTATTCGCAGAACTACGCGGCCGGGATACGCCGGCACTTCCACGAATATTGAGATGGTTTTGAACACCCACAAAAATCCCTTCTTATATAAATCAAGCCACCAACATAAATACTTGCCAAATTTTCCTACCAAAAAAATACCAGAATCAAA